CCATTTATCTTTTAACGTGTATCGTAAAAAGGACTGCAATTGAAAAATTGATAAATACTAGAAGGACTACTTATAGAGTTTTAAAACTTGAATGAGTGCGTTTGGAGGTTGTTGAATACTTAAAGTACTGTTTATGAATTTTTGAAACTTGAATGATCAATCGTACACACCTCATAAAATTGAAGGACGATTCGTGGATTTTAGTCCGAAATTTATATGGATGGCTCAATTGCACTTTGCACCATTTAAAAACATCTTAAAGTAACAAATAATTACATTGCGCCATCACATATCAAAAATATCAAAATGTACCCTAAAAATGTAGTAATATTTTTTAATACACTCTTTGATTTTGTTTATTAAAAAATAAAGGATATTTACCTAATTTATTTATGAGAACAAATGATGTACTCCACCAGAATAGTTTTTAGGTCAAATGATATACTCTCTCCATCCAAACATAAACTTCTCATTTTGAACAACGTGTAAAATTTCATCTTTTTTGAAAAATTACTTTATTTACAAATTGATATATCATAAAATGTACAAATTACATTGTTCAAAATTATACTCCGTATTAAAAGTTCTACAAAACAAGATGTAACAATAATATTTTATCTTATCAAATGATTGATGAAATTATGCAAACAAACAGAAATTATTGAGAGACCGTAATAGTGATCGGAAAGGTTTAGAATGATTGTTTGAGTGTTTTCATTGCAAAAATTTGGTAAGAATGTTCTAAATTCTTTTTTTAAATTCATAACAAAGATTAATTACAAATCTATACATTCTCTTTTATCATTTAAAATCTGAAAATTCAAACTTAAAAATTGAAACCAAAGAATTTAAATAAAATCCTAACATTCAAATCATATTTAAAATAATTTTAAATATGTGCTAGTGCTCGCTCTTTAACAAATCTAACAAAATTTTATATAAAAAAAGTCATTTCATGGATGCAAATTTAAAAACTATGACAGAGGATTTACTTAAAAATATTAAGAGTAACATCATAAATTTGTTTTAAGAATACCATACAAATATGACGGGGGGACTTATATAAAAAAAGCTGCTTTAGGTGAATCAATTGACAAAGGGTGTAAAGAAAAAATATTAAAATTTTGACGGTGCATTTTGACAATTTTAATAGCTGGGGTAAGGCTGTTCACATTTAGGTCCGGACCGAAAAAACCAACCGAACTAGACCGTTAGGTCCAGACCGATCCCGGACCGAATAGATTTCGGGTCGGTCTTCGGTCCAGAAAATTTAGGCATTCGGGTTTCGGTTCGATCCGGTCTAAACCCGAAATGATTTAGGTCCGGACCGATTGGACCGGTTGGATCTAATGACCCTACTGGATCTAAAAGACCTAAATACTAAAACTCTATTTTTAAAGTTCCGTATTACACTTTAATGCTCTATTTTAATAGATATTTTAATTTATTTAATTAAAAAAGTTTTTTATTAAGTAATTTTTAAAAAATCTAAAAAAGTATCCATTTTAAGATTGCATATTTTTTATTCATTTTCTATTTGAATGGTACAAAGTAAAAAGTCTAAAATATATTTAATTGATCAAAATAATTTAAAAAATATGTATTTTTTTCAGTCCAATCGGTCCAGACCGGTTCGGTCCTAAATATTTCGCCAATCCTAAATATTTCGGTCCGGTCAGTCTTTGGTCCGGTCCGGTCCGGTCTTAGACCGATGAACATCCCTAACTGGGGGTGCATTTTAATAATTTGAGGGTACAAAATGCTTTTTCCCATTTATATGACATTACCAATAAAACTCAAACCGACTCGTACCCACCCCTAGATTTACTAGTACGAATTAAGATGCACCTAAAACCAGAGGACGAAGTGACAAACTATGGTAGAAATTGGAAATATTTCATAATACCTAAAAATGCACTCCCTTCATCCCAAATTAATTCTTTTAAAATAAAATATTTGAATAAGATTTATGGAGACCGGAGAGAAAAGAGAATCAATATGAAGCATTTATTTCACTCTTTTCATGGAAAACAAAATTTATTTTGGAACAATCTACAAAGAAAAATCAAAAGATTAATGTGAAACAGAGTGAGTATAAATTCATTCAAGTATTTAAAACTCAAACAATTTCATCAGTGTCATTCTTTTTTAGTTCAATATTTTATTGATCAATATTTTCAAAAATGGGGTAGATTAAAAGTTAAAAAGTACTCCCTCTGTCCCAAAATATAATGCTTGTTTACTATTCACAGGGTCAAACTTCATTCACTTTCTTTCTCTATTTTTGTTACCAATTTAATAAAATAAAATATTATTATCACTACTAATTTTGTAGATCTTTTGATGTAATTTTTTAATATGTAATTTTTATTTTTTAATTCTATATCATTTATCATATAAAATGGTTTGAAAATAATTTCAGTCAAACATCGTAAACCAAAATAGGCGTTATAAAATGGGACGGAGGTAGTACATATTACTGATCAATATAATTATATGCATTCAGATGAACATAAAAAAATATTTTATGATATGTAAGATAACTTATTTCTCATGAGTATTCTAGAAACAATTCATTATCAAATACTCTGAGATTCCGTTTGGTACATGAAATTTAAGTAATAAAATTAGAATTGAAGACTTTAATTCCATCTTCAATTACATCTAGTGGTTGGTAGCACAAAAATATGTAAAATTGAAATTGAATCCTAATTCCAAATCTTCCAATTCCACATTCTGAATTCCATGCCACAAGAAATTTCATCCAATTCAATTTCAAAAAATTCAATTCCAACTAGCATTTCACCCGTGCATTGCACGGGTATATATTAATTCTATTTTTTGAGATCATTATAAAAATAAAAAAATCTTTTTAAAAATTTAAAATGACTAATATCTCAAAATATAATTTTTAATATAATCATTACTCCCTGCGTCCTATAATGATCTTCCCGGTTCGCAAAACGAAGAAAAATCTCAAGTTTTTTCAATCTATTTTATTGGTATAAAAATAAAAAATAAAACATACATATTTAAAAACTACACTAAAAGTTCAACAAAACAAGTGGTGACAAGAATATTTTATTTTATCATATAGGCCATGAAAAAATACAAATAAATATAAATTCCCGTGAAGTTAGAATAGTGCTCTGAGAAGATCATTATAGAACGGAGGGAGTATATGATATCCTTGAATAGAAAAAATATGTCTACGTATGTAAATATTTTTTATTAAGTTCTAAATTTAATCTACAATGCACCCAATAAAGAAATACATTTTTTTGGAATTTTTTTTCATTTCTAATCAATAATAGTTCACGATATAAATATATATGTGAGAGTTATTTAACCGTCTTGATATGGGAATTCCAGGAGTTTGGCATTCAACAATTTCAGTGGGAGAATTCCAAATTTATTTTCAGCCATAAAAACACTAAAAAACCTTCAAGTAGAGATCTTACACAAGCTTTTAGGGTGTGGTTGGAACCTAGAAAATTCTATATTTTCTGTCATTTTTCTTTTCCATTAAAGGGTTCCAAACACAGCCAAGGATATGTTTACCAGATTATTCTCCATCATTGCTTTGCAGGAATGTGAGCCAAAACATATTAACTGAGCCATTGGGAGATTTCAGTGGCTTGGAAATCTACAGCATCAATAGGAGATATATGTTTTATAAGGTTTTAAAATGGTCCAACAAAAGGTTCAATTGACAGAAGATTTGCCAAAGGAAATACATCATTAGTTTCAGTACTCACTCCAAGTTGTATTCCTGCCAGATTAACACCCACCACAGCCAACTGATTTGCAATTTGGGCTGCTGAAACTACATTTGCTTGGTCAATTTGTGTCTGCAGAATTTTAAAATTGTGCCAGACATTATAAAACGGGAGTAATTAAATCATTAATACTATGGAGATACACCGAAGAAAAAACTATATCGCTTATAAATTCTACAAACCTTCACCTTTTCATTGCTCAGCTCATTATTCTCTTCCACGAAGGATGCCTTCCTGTAATTCAAAACATCACTCAACAAAAGAATTAACCATATGTGAGAGGAGATTGCTAATGATATGATGATGACCCATAATATTCAAGAGTTGAAAGGATATTTATTATTGATTACCACATTTCATCTAAAAAAAGATTTTGTAAAAATCCAAGAAAGCAGAATGCCAGACCATTTTTGGCTTTCCTAATTTTCGAATTCGGATCTACTTTGTCTAAAAATAAGAGTTCATACCGTCCCACTCATTCTTTGAATAATATATTACGGTTGGTGGATGGGAAGTAAAGCTGACCAGATCAACACCATACTTTTTGCTATTATTGTCTTAAGACACCTAGTAATTTGAAAAGAATTGAAGATCATTAACAATAATAACGAAACATGACCAAACCTGATTCACTAAAGCCTAAAGAGCTCAGTTTGATAAAAAATCAAAATTCTGGATTCTTACGTAGCAGTTGTATCATCATACAAACGAATTGATTCATCATCACTTACAGTGACCAAGTAAGGTGACGTTTTGTCAAATTCAAATGAACTAATTATTTCGTTCTGCATAATGACATTAAAACCCTTGTATAATTTTGTATATGCCTAGACTATATTGGAACTTAAAAAGATGGATGTGGAGAGCATGTTTGTAGCCATCACAGCCCAGGGTTATAGGAAGAAAGGCGTACTTCGTGTGAACCTGGGTTTTGAATAAATTGGAATTCATAGTCTTACAATAATCAAGACACTTATCTAGAAATTGAACTTAGGGGGCACTTACCTAGGGTTTCATAAACCGGATAATTCCAATAAACACCTAATAAAGAAGATAAATCTTCCAAGTCTTTGAAAATTTATGAATAATTAAACAAACAAACGAAGAAGCTATACAAAGGAAAAAATAAAGGTAACAAAGGAAGAAGCTATACAACGCTCACCCTACATGGCCCGTTAGTGTACCAAGTCGTAGCACTAAACCATAACCCATGGGCCAAGCCCATATAGAACCACAGGCAATACCGGTGTGCTGAGTCTTGAGCTCTGCTCATGCTTATCCTTCAATTTGGTCTTCCGGTATTTAGACTTTGTTAGGCCAAAAAAAAGAAGCAAAGAACCATATGGAAAAAGAATTTTAATAATAAAATTGTAGCAATATGTGAATCAGGGTATAGCAACACCAAATCATGAAACTAAATACCCTATAATCTTCTTATGATTTACAGCATGGCTGCACATTGTACACATTAGGATCCATACTTGTTAGAGTCACATTAAAGAATTATAGAGTAGCTTATAGGAAGAAGGTCCGATAGAAATTATGGAGTATTCAAATTTTGATTAAATACTAATCCATATCAAGATTAAATACAGGTACTCAGTGACGTGATCTACCAACACACCATAAACTAAAAATTAAAAGAAATAAAAACCTCTTGTGCTCTTCATAACCTCACTTCCAGTTCATGAACTCCAAAAGCTTGTTGTAAACTCCAGCACCATAAAGAAAGACTAAAACTTATTTTCAAACCTAGAAGGATGAAAAAAGTGTAGTACTTAGTCCAGTTTTTAAGATCATATTTCTTTGCCTGTTATAGCATTAACAAATATTTCAATAATCAATTGCTTAGAAACAGTTTCATAAGAATATAAAAGCCTTTCAAATGAATAAACCACTGCAGCTGACCACATTTTGAACTAAGTTAGAAAAGCAGAAACACAAAAACGAAATCTTTTAAGGAAGTGAAACTGTCCCATAGCAAAATCAGATGCAATTACAGATTGACACCCTTACTGACCACATGTTCGAATTCCAACATCATCAGCTACTGTAAATAAAATATCTTGTCAAACCTAGATGAAGCACATGCTAAAAAGGCAAAGCTTCATCCTATAAAATACTTTGGAAAAAATAAAGTTCAGCTACTGTAAATAAAATATCTTGTCAAACCTAGATGAAGCACATGCTAATAGGCAAAGCTTCATCCTATAAAATACTTTGGAAAAAAAGAAGTTTAAAGAACACAATCGGGACTCATGAGTTTTAATAGAAAAATAAAACATGAACTCATACTCACGTCTCGGAATGTAATACTCCCTTCATCCTTATGTTTTATTCTCATATTTACCTTGACATGGTTAGTAAGGAAAGTGAAGATAAAAGATGAAACACCCAAGAAAATATTGAACATCATAACATGAAAGTGCTTGCTTTAAATAGTAATGCATCTAAATGGGTTCTAAGCTAACATCTCATTGCAATACCACATAAAATTTGAGACTTAAGACATAAAGCATCAGGTTACATATAAAAGATGCAATTCCATTAAATATTAACACCTGTAATTGAATTCCCATATTCTATCTTACTGCAGTACTACAAAAAATTGACTTGATATAATGACTACATAAATGAACTTCATAGATTTAAATTAAAGCATCCGAGTGTAATTGGATATCATTCTAAAAATATATAGCAACTAACTCACTGATTAAACACAACAAACACCTTCCAATACCCACTAAATAAAATTAAAAACAAAAAATAATACAATTCATACCAACCAATTAAGAATCAAATTGTTTACCATACGAATTTGATTACGTTCGTATATGAACATACTAAGAGAGAGGGAGAGACAGATTACTGTCACTTCAAATCCTTAACGACAGACTATTGAAACTGGGGCAATTCGACGTTGACGCTCAAAGAGCAGGGAAGATGAATAGACCTTTTCCAGGGTAATCGGATCTGGAAGAAAAGAGTGACCAAATGTTGAGGTCGTCGGCGTTTCGATATCGTCGGCTTCTTATGGGGTTGAAGATAAAAGTCACTGAAGGGGAGATTACAATGAGTTACGGTTGACATTCCATCTAATCAATGGTAAAGATTAGACCAATTGATGATGGAGCTGTGAGGTGGAGAAAGAGGTGCAATGGAGAAGAGTTTTTCAGCAGGAAGCGTTGGATTTGGGTAGTTTTCATATGACAGTGGAGGTCTGCAACTTTAAGTCTCTCGCAAGTCCTTCTGATTCTGTTATATGTATATAATAGATTCTGTGTACCAAATGGAGCCTGTATATGTATCTTATTTGTGATTTTTTCAATAAGTTTATCACTCCGTGATGAAAAGTCTAGAAGCTTTTCTTTATTTTTCTTAAAGAGAAGAAAATTGTTTGTTTTCCAAATAATGAAAAGTTGTTTTTCAAAACTATTTTTTAAAAATGTTTTAAAAAATAAAAATTGTTTGTATTTGAAATAAAACATTCAAAATAAACTTCATTTGTCTCAAATTAAATATTTTCATCTTTATCTAAAAAAAGTTGTTATGTTTTGAATCTGTTGCGACCAAAAGAATATAGAGCAAAGTCTTTTTAATATTTAATTAATTATATATTCATTTTGGATCAATGCGCAACAAATCTTCTTCTCGACTTAAATTTCTCTAATATACAAAACTATTTTCATATACTCTTCTTTTTCTTCATTTTTTATTCTATTGTTTTTTATTTTGATTTCGATAAATATAATAGTAAAATTATAAAATTATTATTTTTAAATCAAAAAGAGAAAAAATAAAAAAAGAAACAGAAAATGTGAAATTAGCTTCACTACAAAAAAGTGATAAATGTTTCGTTGATTTTGTATTATGAAAATGAACCAATAAGAACTTTTTAATATGATGAAAATATTTAATTTGAGACAAATAAAGTGTACATAAAATCTATTAATTTGATTAATTTTTTATTTCAAACACATGAAAATAATAAGAAATAATGATTATAGAAAAAAATATGATTATTTAAACATTACAGAGTATAAAAATAGTTTTTTAAAAAAGCTTAAAAATAATTATCAAAAACTTTTTAAAAAGAACTTAAAAACTTTTATAAAAATAGAAAAGAAAAATGAAAAATAATACTCCCTTCGTTCTCAAAAACAATTCCCATTTGGATTTGGGGCAAAAATAAGGAAGTGTTAAATTATAGTTGATTTCCAATTTTGCCCCTGATGTGATGGGTAAAAGTAAGATGTGATGGATAGATTATTAGAGAAAAAGTATGATGTGATGGGTAGGGTAGGAAAAAGTAAGGGTAAAAGTGATTTTTTAATAGAAAGGGGAAGTGTTTTATTGGAAGTGGAAAAAATGAGAGAGGAAGTGTTTTTGAGAACGGATGGAGTATTATAACCAGAGAGAGATCTTCTCCCTAATTAAATAATCATGTTTGGGATACTCATTTTTAGACCTAATTAATTAAGTTTAACACCAGTCTTTATTACATTCTATTCCTAACACAACATTTTCCACGACATGTACTACTAATTGTAGGGTATGAAAAAGTAAGAGTAAAAGTGGTTTTTTAATAGAAAAGGGAAGTGTTTTGTTGGAAGTGGAAAAAATGAAAGAGGAAGTATTTTTGAGAACGGAGGGAGTAAGAAAAAGAGGTAGGCGTTGGTGCACATTTCCAAAACAATAGGGGGCTGCAAAGTTATTCATTTAAAATTAAAGGGGTATTTTAGTGTAAAGAGGCAGTCTTGTAGGATTATTAGCACCACAGGAGACAACGTAAGTTTTGAAACCATGGGGGTAACAATGCACATTTTTTAAACTATTCGTATAGTTTTTTTATACTTTCTCAATTTATTGACACATATTAACTATTGTTTATACTTTCTCTATTTATTGACACATATTGACTACTCTATAGTACTAGCTTAATCGAACCCCTTTCAATCACACTGCACACAAAGTAGTTTATATCGAAGTTTTCCAAAGTCTATAATACTTCCCATGGATATTAAGTATTAATGGGAATTTTTCTTTATTTACAATTGTATTAAATTCTCTAACCATTCAGTTTTAAACTTTTTTTCTTCTCCATCTATTCTCATTTTATAGTAAATAATAAGCCTGTGCAACACTGGTAAGAGTCTAGTAAGTAAAAAAACATAACTTCTATCTAGGCAAAAACAATATGTTCTTATAGGGTACCAATTTTACAATATAGTTCCACTAAGACAAATATAGATAACTCATAAAGCATAGATACCAAAGATGACATAACTGCACTCTCAGAAAATATTATACTCATTGGATAGGAGTCCACCAAATCTAAAGTAAATTTCGGATAGATTTCAAATAGGTAGTTATGCTCATCCACTTGTTGAAAAATCAGTTTTGGTTCTTTTCTTAATAGGAGAGTGATTTTAAAATGGATATACTGGGCAGCATCTACATTCTAACTTCAAGTTCATGCATTTTGGATACACTGTCATCCCCAACCAGCTACATAATATTTGTCAGATCATAATAGTTTAACAAATAAGTACGCGTTCTCGAAGAATGCATCCTGTTCAAATACTTTGTTGCTCTCCGTGTATATTATATCTTGACTTTCTCCAAATATTTTAGTTAGACTGAGATAAAAAAAGGCAAGTCTTTTAATAAATTCTATCAAAGTCACACCCTGGAGGGCATACCTATATAAAATAAGTATAACAGAGTATTAATTATTGAAAATTGGTAAAAAATTAAACTCTTTTTAAGAAAGATAGAGACACATGTGGGTCATAAAGTATTCCCTCCAAGTGTATTGTTAGTCTGTTAAAATCACTAAGAAGAATTCAATTTTTTACCATTTTTGAATATTTTTAATTAATACTCCTTATATGCCTATTCTATAGAGGTATGCGCTCCAAGGTGTGAATTTGACAAAATTTTATTAAAAGAATAGTGTTCTTTATCTCAATCCAACCAAAATATTTAGAAAAAGTCAAAATGAAATACACACAGAGCAATAAAGTTTATTTGAACAAGAAACATTCTTCTGGAACAGTGACTTGTCAAACTATTATGATCTCAAAAATATTATGCAGCAGATTAGAGATGACAATGTATCCAAAATACATAAGATTGAAGTAAATTAGAATGTGAATGTTGCCAAAGATATCCATTCAAAAATCACCATTCTATTAGAAAAAGAACCAAAATTTACCTTACAAGAAGTGGATGATCATAACTACTTATTAGAAGTCTATTTGAAATTTACTTCAGATTTGATGTTGGACTTCTATTTAATGAGTGCAACATTTTCTAATAGTAATCTCATGTCATCTTAAATATCTGTACTTTATGAGTCATATATTTATCTTAATGGAAATATATTGTAAAATTGATTCCTTATAAAAACATATTACTTAAACCTAGATAGAAAGTTACATTTTTTACTTACTAGACTCATACCCATATTGTATGGCCTTAATATTTATTACAAAATGAGGCTAGATGGAGAAGAAAAAGTTTAAAAATCAAATATTTAGAGAATTTAACGCAATTATATACAAAGAAAAATTTAGATTGATACTCAATGTCCATGGGAAATTTTATAGGTTTTGGAAATTTTCGTTATAAACTACTTCCCGTGTAATGTGATTAAAAGAGGTTCATTAAGCTTGTACTAGGAATAATTTGATATGGGTTAATAAATTGAAAAAATATAAAAAAAATATGATTACTACATGAGTGGTTTGGTAAATGTGTACCGTTACCCTCTATTATTTCAAAACTTACGTTGTTGCTCCATGTTCTTTTAATAATCCTACGTCAATGCCAATATAGACTATAATACCCTTAAATTTTTATAAATAACTCAGCAATCCTTTATAGTTTTGGAAATATGCACCAACACCCCCTTAATTTGTTTATTATTTTTTATTTCTTTTCTTTTTTATAAATGTTTTTAAGTTCTTTTTAAAAACTTTTTCATAAATATTTTTAAGTTTTATAAAACAATAATTTTTAGAACCAGCAATGTTTACATAATCAATTTTTTTCTATTTGAAATAAAAAAATTAATCAAATAAAAAGAATTATCGTATACTTCATTTGTCTCAAATTAAATATTCTCATTTTATTCAAAAGTTTTTATTGCTTCATTTTCATAATACAAAAATCAACAAAACAGTTATAACTTTTTGTAGTGAAGCTGATTTCACATTTTCTATTTCTTTTTATTTTTCTCTTATAGATTAAAAAATAATAATTTATAATTTTACTATTATTTTAATTAAAATCAAAATAAAAAACAATAGAATAGAAAATGAAGAAAAAGAAAAGTAATTGAAAAATAGTTTTGTAGAATAAAGAAAATTAAGTTGACAAGAGGATTTGTTGTGCATCCATCCAAAAAAAAATGATATGAATAAATAAATAACTAAAGATTAAGAACACTTCACTAGGGAGCTTCACCAGGGACAATATTAAAAATGTTAATAAAAATATTGAAGTCCAAAGGTAAAAAAAGTGTACCTGAACAGAAATTCTCTTCTCATTGTAGACAGCTTCACCAGGGACCATATTCTTAGTGACAAGGGCATCTTCCTTACCCTTGGCAATGAACACTCCCTTGTGCCTTTGAGGCTCCACCACAACCCTGCTGTTTCCCTTCATTCCTCCCCTGCCTCGTACCTTTTTCGGACAGCCTCTAGGCGGGCCGCCCCTCCCTTGGCCGCCGGGTGGTCCTCTCCCCGTTCCTCTTCCACCATGACGTCCGCCCCTGAAACCACCGCCGCCTCCACGACCTCCCGAAGAAACCATAATTGCTTGTAGTTTAGTGCCGCTAGGGTTTCGAATAAGGGAGAGGCAAAAAGATGAGAGGTAGAATTCAAGGGTTTAGGGTTTCTCTATATAATCGTTGGGTCAAAGTTACACTTCATGTATGCAATCTCACTAGACCTAATAACGTGGGCTTAATAAATGATATTAAGCCCAAGCTCGGTAAACACAAGGATCCATGGGCTTCGAAATATTTTGTACACAATGAAATGTATGTAGTAAGAGGTAGTTATTAAATGACTTGTTTCGAGTTTTCATTTACCATATTTGTGTAAAATTAGTTTCAATTTAATTTATTAAAAAACTAAAGTGGGATTGAAAAAAATTATGATAACATGTTTAAAAATTATATCTAAATTATAGTAAATTGTCAAGGAAAGTGTAGGCTTATTTTAGATTAATAACTAGAATATTTTGGGAAAAAACAAAACCATTTTAGTTTAAAACCAGTGGAGTTCTTGTTTTACCTACTGCTTCATGGAATTCAAAAAAAAAATCATTTTGTTTGGTGGTGGTTTAAGTGAGAAAAACTAATATCAAATGTAGTTCTCCGGAAAAAATAATACTATGTGTTCCTTGCAAGATGAGATACTTGTTAAAAATGTAAAGGGTTTGGCTTCTTTATATAATCGTTTAGTGGCACGGTTTCGAAGAAGGAAGAGGCAAAAAGATGAGAGGTGCGGATTTCAAGGGTTTGGCTTCTTTATATAATAGTAGGTCAAAGTTAGGGTTCATGTCACTAGACCTATAACGTGGGCTTAGTAAGTGAAGCTCGATATTAAGCCCCAGCCCAAGCCCGGAAAACACAAGGATCCATTGGCTTCAAAATATTTTGTAAACAATAAAATCTACGTAGTAAGAGGTAAAGACGTAAAGTTCTTAAATGACCTCTTTCGAGTTTCCATTTACCATATTTGAGTAAAATTAGTGTCAATTTAATGTATTAAAAAACTAATGTGGGATTGATAAAAAATACGATTACATATTTAAAAATTACGGAGTATATGTAAATATTAGTAAATTGTCAAAGAAAGTGTAGGCTTATTTTGAATAAAAAACTGTTGTGCCATTTGAACAAATTTTGTAGGGCTATTGTGTCATTTGTATGGAAAAAGATTGTAGAAACAAAAAAAATTACGGTGGATTGTCGAAAAGGCGTTATGTAGTGTTGCTTTGGGAAAAAATTTGCAGTGTTGTTGCGAAGAAAAATTGTAATGCCATTTGTATAACTTTTGTAATGTTGTTTTGAGAGGAAAATCGTAGTGAAATGTCAAAAAAATTATGATGCAGCTCTAGTATAATCAATCTGAAAGTACTGTACGGCTCTCAAATTGATCAACGTTATCTTCGTTATCCCAGCAATGACTTGGATAATCTTAGCCCATGTTCAACCACCCAATGGATCATTATCAAAGAAGGCCACAATCAACATCCTTACGAAAAGATTTTAGACATTGTATTTTATTATGAAAAGATTTTTGTCATTCTAAAATCATTATATGTTGATTTTTATTTTTTAAATTGAGTACTATATTATGAAAAGATGTTTGCAGTCTTTTATTTTGTTAATTATTTTAAATAGTCCATTTGTCTGATAAAGATTCTTCACTTATAACATCATGAATAATAAAAAAAGTGATTAAAATACTCCATAGAAAATATGCGATTCATTTTTTAAAATAAATAAATGTTATAGAGTACGAGTTTATATTGTTTTTAAAAAAGGAAAAGAGAAAAAAAAGAATATTGACTACAAAAGAAAAAGGGAACATCTTTGTAGGTGGGACTTGGGAGGGAGTATATAGATGAACATTAGATACCCATAGATAAAGCTATATCAAATGAGTAAAAAGACTAAAAGGGTGTTATATATTGACCCCACTCCAAACAATTAGTCAAAGAAATTAAGAAAAATACTCTTCGTAATAATAGTAATAAAACTATAGAAGCTTCCAATCCACTTCATTGATTACCACAAAATTACTCCATATAATATGCATATAAATTGATGTTTGACTAACGGAATATTACTGGACATTAAAAAAGTGATATAATTAATACAGTATAAAAAAATCTGCTTGACTACAAAACGAAATGTTATATGACAATATTATTTTATTAAATGATCAATGAAAATACATATATATAAAAGATACAGAATAATATAATTTGAAAACCTCCAAGTACCCGGTATCGGAATGAACAGTAAGCAGAGAAGAGTTATATGGAGCTATAATCTCAGACTATATTATACGGAGTAAGTTTACCCATTCTTCCTACCGAAGACCCACTGTGCTTCCTCATTTTTTCCTTTGTTAATCAAAAGTCGTTACAGATAGAAACTGAAAACTTTGACAAATTACTAGTTCATACACATGTTGAATCTTTTAGGCACCTGTGGACGCTCTCATCTTGATGGTGATGAATATGGCTTGGATGATCTGAGCCCATGTTCAAGCCCCAAGGGATCGTCGAAGAAGGCCGCATTCAACAACCCTTACGCAGATCGTGGCCTCGACAAGTTCTCCGCACTCTTAGCTGATATTGAAGCCATGAAGCAGAAAATCTACACCCAGAGGGGCTCAGATCAGATCTCCTTCGTCCGTTTCGCCTTCTCAAACTCCAACCATGTCAAGCCCATCGTTGTCAAGAGAAAGAAGGCCAAGAGCAAGAAGAGGAAACCTGAAAATGACAGAGGTGCAGCAGACAAGGAAGGATCTGAGCAGCGTGCGATCAGATCGGCGGGAAGTGAAGTTCAAGAAACTGGTGATGATGATGGGAAGAAACCGCCGTCTAAAGGGTTTCCTTGGGAGATGAATCAAAGGTGTTGCTTGCCTGTGGCTGTAATCCTGGCTTTGGCTTCCTTGGCTGTTTATGGGAGGGCCTTTGCAATTATGTGTGCGTCAATTGGGTGGTACGTTATTCCCATCAACACAGAAAGTCCAGCTGCATCAAGCGTTAGTGGCTCCAAAAAGAGGATGAGAAAATTGAGCTCCAAAGTACTCAGTGTGTGATGTTCAACTGGACATGAGAAAGGTTTTCTTGAGCTTAGTTTCATCTCCACCTTCGCTATCTTCTTGTGTGCTTTCTTGATTTTCTTGCACCATATATCTTCTGCTTTTTGTTCCTTTTGTTCTCAATAAATGTAAACTCTTATGCAGTTGTTGCCTTTAGAGTGTGTTTGGGGATTTGATTATACAGATTAAGTGTGTTTGGTTGGAGGAAGACTTCTTTCTATCCCGCTGCTCCCCCTTTTAATCCCCTCCAAGCAAAGTACCAAACACACTAGTACAATGTAAATATTATTTGTACTCTGTGTATACAGGGTTCTCATGTTTCTTGTTTTTGGAGAATTCAAGGAATGTAATTGTTGTGATATGTTGTTGAGCAAATTTGTAAGCGTAAGTAATCACACAAGTGTGTGTGTGTGTGTGTGTGTGTGTGTGTATAAGTCATCATTTAACGAGTACACAATTCAAGTTTTCAAACTTCAACAACCTTTTGAAGGCCAACAACCTTAGTAATAGTGTAACATTTTAAGGTTTAAGAATCCGCAAAAAAATGCATATATAGAAACATTTCAGGAAGATGCTGTTCATTAAAAACGACCTCACCTTTATCATGATTTCCCTTCTCATTACTTGTAATTCTGTGTCCACTGCAAACATATATGAAGCTAAGAGTTCCATCTCTGAAGTCCAAATGGGAGTGCATGGACCGGGGCTTCTGAATAATGAAGCAACACAGTCTTATTCCTGTAATTCAAGCAGAAGGTTGAAGTGAGTGTCTGTGTGATGTAAAATAGTATCATTTAGAAAGTTGTAAACTATGAAATCAATGCGTGTGCAATCAAAAGCAAAAAAGAAAAAACAAAAATGTAAAGAAAAACCTCTGTCCTCTGTGGACTGACCATGAAACGGAAAATTATATTGCCTGGAAATATATATAAAGAGTGGCAGTTTAGGCTTTGCTTTGTAGCTAATTTTGGTTTATTGAGCTTATGAGTTATGATCGGAATAAGTGAGTGCTTGGAAACAAGATAATTGAAGATATTTTTGCCAAAAAAGAGAGATGTTTGAGGCACATTTGAAGTGTTTGGTAATTATATTTTTAACAAAGAAGACTTGTTTTTCAAGCTCTTTAGATATATCTTTTTCAGTTTACATAAAACCCTGACAGTTGAAACAGTGTGCCAAACACTTTTTTCCTGAAGAGCCAACATGAAAAAGCAAACACAAATACACAATCTTTTACATATTACTCGTCAATCATGACCTAAACAGGATAAGTAGTTTTTGACTAACTTATTTGGCTGATATGAATGTTACCAAATGTCCTTTCAGAAAATTCAAAAGATTTGGCCATTTAACATACAAACCAACCTTAAATCTCTTTGTGCGACCATCAACACGACTAAAGTTTTGTGATCTGCTCCTCGGTGCTTCATCCATTTCATTCCATGTGTTCCTTACAGACGGCAATCTATCTCTTTCTCCAGTTCGATTTCTAGCATTTAAGAAGTACCCATCCTTGTCCCAGCTGACATCATAGTCAGCTACCAAGCGCGAACCTTGCTGCACAAATTACCAACTACATGACTATGCCATTCGATCACACCATTGACAACAACCTTGATAGTTGATAGGAGGGTGGGGGTCTGGTGGTAGAAAGGAAAACAGTTAGGACAAGAGTCTAACATTTATACTCCCTCCGTCCACAAATAAATTTTACGTTCACTATTCACATGGTCAAACTTTATTCACTTTGTTGGCCTATTTTCGTCACCCATTTGATAAAATAATATAGTCATGTCACCTCTAGTTTTGTAGATCTTTTGATATAGTTTTTTAATATGTAATTTTTATTTTTCAATTCTACACCATTTTCATATAAAATGATTTGAAAATAACTTCAGTCAAACATCGTAACGCGCAACGTAAAGTTTATTTGTGGACGGAGGGAGTATATCCTAACTTAACAATGGAACAATGACTGAGTATCATTGAAGAGCATAATACCTTTAGCAATGAACGGCCACTAAGCGCCTTCAAAGCACTGCAAAAGTCCTTGTGCTTCTCAAAACGAATCACAATCTTACATTGGAGCCCTGAAATAGTATCCACTTTGTTCCCTCCAACATCCTTATCTATGCTATTGTCCTCGGACACATCGAGGTTCCTGCTTCATTAAAGAAACTATTTAATGATAATCTGTCGCCCTGCTTGTCCTATCAATTGCTCAGACACATGTGCAAAGTAGTAGAGTATCATGCTCAAAAGTATCACTCAAACCTAATCTCCCCAAACATTGAAAAAATTGTATGGCTGACAAGCACGGAAGGCTTTGGAGACACCCGTATTTCTGCAAACCATCTCGATGGCAAACCTCTCAACACAATTGTATCAGGCTGTATATTTGAGCCCTTCTGAAACCCTGAAAAAAAGAAAAGTACTGTCACAAATAGCAGGCAATCAACAACAACAACAACAACAACAACAACAACAACAAATACCAAACCGACAAGGCGACGACATTAACAGCGACAACAATAAACAAATTTGGTAAAAACCCACAAAAAGGAGGTTCGAAATCCCATGTTATGAGCTTGAAAAGAGAGCTATATTGTCGTCAAAGATTGAAATTTTACAAACCTCGGCCTCCAAAAGCAGCAATCTCTTCCCATTCCTTCTTCATCCCTTCAAAATCATCAGATCCCGGCAGCACAGCACTCAGCCGGAATTTAGCTCCTTCAATATTGACCTCCATACCATCCATTCCCTCCACGACTCCTCTCCTCCACTCCCGAAATCTCTTCTCGAATGCCCCGGCATCGTCCTTCTCAGCTTTCGAGCTTAAGAGCTTCTCCAGAAACCCTAGGTCTCGAATACAGAGGCTGCCGTGAGCTACCGGCTCGTCGCGCTTGCGCTTGCTGAGGTCCTTGAATCTCCGGATTTGGAGGTCGTCCTCTTCGACGGTCGCGGAATGCTTGTTCTTCAAGTAATCAATCAGCGACCGCTTCAGCTTCCACTCGTCTAGTGGGGATACGAACTTGTCGGCGCGGGAGACTGTCAGTAAGAGTTTGACGCGCGGGATCAGTGACAATCCGCTCTCGAGCTCCACGGTTTCCGTTGGCCGGAGAGAGTCCAGCTCCTTCCCGTTGTTCATCTTCCTCGTTACTAGACCCGCCGCCGTGAATATTACCAGATTACCACTCCCGATTAGATTTACCTCTAGACCCTCCGTCCCGTTGCAAGAGATTTTCATCACTTTTCTTATTTTTTAAATTATTCTTTTCCTCATCCACGTCATCTTAAAAATATTTACATTAAATAGCACTAAAATTTAAATTATTTTTTTAAATAGCATTTAAATTGTTTTATTCTCTAAATAACACCTAATAAATTCAGATTCCAAAAGGAGAAATAATGTGCAGGACGAACATTTATTTGAATAATGACTAATACATAGTATTATACTAGAAAAATGTTAGGGGTACCTACCAAAGATAAGAAACTAAATAAAATTAAATAAATAAAAATAAAATAAAATTGAATGGTGGATAAAGGGGTAGGGGACAAATGGGGTACACCTTTTGGTGTACTACTAGCATTGCTCATTATAGTATTTAGGGAAAGTCATTGTGTTTTAGTGATATTTAAGTAAATTACTACGTTCATCTTATTTCCCCTTCATTCAAATTTATTAGTGATGCCCGGCTAAAGCATCTAAATTTCAACATAACTTATCCATTCATTTTGAAAATATTTTGGATACTACAAAATTTTCCTTCGAGACAATACTACGAATTATTTTTGGAAAAAAATAAAACTAAAAATCATTTTATTATATCAATATACTCTCTCCGTCTCTTATAGATTCATTACGAGTAACACGTTATGAGACTTGACCGGTTTTATTTTAAATTTAACTTATTTAATTATATGTGTAAAATTTGAAAATACAATTTATCTAATAAAATCTGCCAGAGAAATTCTACAAAATAAAAAGTGATAAAACTATACTCTTTTGAGAAATAAGTTAAAAAAATAAACTAGTAAAGTGAGTCAAGTTTGATGGGAAGGGTAAATATGACATTTAATTTAATTTAATTTTTTTGCCAAAAAGAGAAATGAGAAGTTTATTTATGAATGAACCGAAAAGAAAAGTGAGAAGATTAATGTGAGAAAAAAGGAATATCATTTTCATAACTTGTGCCGTGAAAAAACAAATTTAACACTCACAATCATTTTTTTTCTATGGCAAAAAAATCTATGAAAATAGTACAACCAAATTTCCTTTAAAAGACAAATACAATTTTTATCGAAATTTCAACCAAATAGTTATAGTACTAAATGTGGTTTGGAAAATTGACACCAAAACTCTCGCTGTTTTCGAAACTTATTTCTAAAGTTCAATGATTTTAAAATGTTGCACTTACATCTCCTCTGACTATTTTTAGGTGAAAGAGGTATTCGTGCCTAATTTATAAACTATAGGAGCACTGATGCTCAATTCTTATTTTTCGTTTATTTTTTAATTTTTTTCTTTTTCAACTCTTTTTTATTTTCCGGAGAAGGGGGTATTCATTTATTATTCTTCATCTATTATTTAATTTTTTTTCTTTTCAAATTTTTATAATGTTTTTAAAATTAAAAACTCTTGGTGTTTGAAATAAAATTTAAAAAATAACATGTACTCCAATATCTCAAATAAAACATTTGTACTTTTGGTTTTCTAGAATAATTTTTTTGGTAAGTTAAAAAAATCTAGAATAAAAAAACAAAAATAAAGATATGGATAAACAAAATGAAAATTGAAACATGCAAATAGAGTCTTATACAATAAAAAATTTTCAGAACACCTAAAAAAGTCATTTGAATTGGGATGTCCAAAAAGAATATTTTAATTTTAGTTTTATTTTACTTTTTATTTTATTCCTCATTTTTGAAGATTCTGAATTTTTTTTTTACTTTTTTATTTCAGAAAACAAAAAACAAAAAATTATTTATTTAAGACATACAGATGCAATATATGTTAATAATTTTTTTTCAAACAAAAATAATTTCAAATTTTAAGAACTCTATAAAAAAGAAATTTAAAAAGAATGAAAAATGGGTAGTCGTGACTACAATCTGGAAATTCTGCCAAAATGGGTTGCTTCGGTTGTTTCGACGGAGGAATAATCAAGGGGAAAAAAGAAAAGGGACCATCGGTTTCTGATAAACTTCACCCCCCTAAAGCCGCATCAGAAGATGCAGATAAATCCGCTGATTCAGCTCGTCTGAGAGCCGCAGAAGCTGCCCAGAAAAGGCTTTTTCTCCATCTCTTCATCGTCAACCCTATCCCCCCCCTTTTGTCTTCGCAAAAAAAGAAAAAAAAACTCATCTTTTCATTTCTATGAAATTTGAATTCATCTGTCACGCCTTCAGTGCTTTACTTATTCTTGATGTGGGCTATGCAGACAAGAGGAATTTGACAAGTCTCCGGCAGGAAAAGCTGCAAGAGCTCAGATGGAAGCGATCGCCAAGAAGTCTGCAAATACTAACAGGGGAGAACCAGCTCTCAAGGTAGTGCTTCTTTTGAAATTCATCTTTAATTTCATAGATCCCAATTCAATTCTTCCCTTTTTGATTTTGATTTTCTTTTCTTTTGATCCCAAAATCTTCCTTTTTACCATGGTCTAAAGTGTTTTTCGTATGCTGGTTTTTGTTTTGCTTGTGTTCATCAGTGGCAAATGGGGTAATGCTTTCTCAAGCTAGCTTCTGCTGGAATACATGGTAATTTAAGTGCTGCATATATAAGCTACCTTGTACATGTGGAGTGGTTAAATGTGATTAATCCAACAATGGAAAACTCAACTGATATGAAACCAAGCTGGAAAAGTTGTGGTTTTTGGGATTTGGGAAAAAACCAAAGATTCTCTTGAAGGTGTGGGGTTGTGGGAAGATCAACAATAATGTGATCACTGCAATTTACTATATATTAATGAGTCTAATTCAAAATCAGATTTTTTTTAATATTGCATTGTGATATGTCAATCTTTCACTTCTCTTACATTGTGTTTGGTTAGAGAGGAAAAGAAAAGTGGAGTTGATGGAAAAAAATGATAAGGCAAAGTGGAGAATGAGAGAAAAGTCATTTTCTTTTCTTTTCCTTCCAAATTCTTTGAACCGAATATAGTGTTAGTCCTAGTTTGATTTGGATTCAACAAGTATGGGAACCTCGTGATCTCTGAATTCTTGAAAAAATGGAGGGAATGCACCACATCCTCCTGGTTTGACCATAGTGGTGCATCCAACGTTATGTCAACGATATGATTTGACCATGTTTGCCGTGTGGGAGATTATGGGATTGCCTCTTATATCTTTCGGCAAACTTGAACATCATTTTCAGGTCTAGTTAACTCGACCCATTTCTTGTGGACTTCATCCTTATACCAATCACATAGGCTTCAGTGATCTAGTTATGAATAGAACATCAATAATGGAATCGACTCGGTACACCTGTCGCATTATACATAACTGAGCCAATCCTAGTATACCAATCAACCCAAAAGCTAAAACTACATTTTAATTTTTCTTCTTCTCTATGCAGGATGAACTCTTCCAGTAAACTTCCGTCTTCGACTTTTGGTTGAATTTGCTAATTTGGTTGGTGATCTTTTCCGAAAAAATTTGCTTGTAAATGAAGAGGTAAATGTGAAAAAAAAGATGTCATATATGTGTGTAAAATTTCTTTTCTTTTTGGATTACAAATGAAAATTAAGTGCAACATATACAGACAACTTTTTGGTAGCTTCAATTGTACTACGTATTTGTCAAGTGTAAGCAAATAATGTTCCCACGTTATAAGTATTTGTATATGTTTTTTATAATCTTGGAGATTGGTTCATGCCTTGATAATGCTGCAAATGATATCGAAAACTACTTAGAATCACATATTTCTTACCCAATTCAAAATGTGAGAAATTATAAGTTTTAATTGGGATAGGAAAACACTATTTTTTTTATATAACCACAAAAAATAATCATATATGGAGTATATACTGTATATATGGGCGCACGAATACACCATTGTTTTAATTATACGAGTAACTAATACTCCATATCAATATTGGTTTTTGTCTTAAAAAAACTCCCTATAAATTAAAATTTGTTGGCAATTTGTTAAGATGACAAACAGAATGAGACATTACATACCAGAGATGAATTTGGTACCGTCGGATCTTGGATTACCGTTTAAGTTTCAAAGGAGAAAATTTTCAATATCTTTATGTTTTGGCATGACGATCAATAAGAGTCAAGGTCAAACATTATCATTTGTTGGATTATTCTTGACCAAATCGGTATTCACTCAGGGTCAATTTTATGTTGCAGTTTCACGAGTGAAAACTAAGAAAGGATTGAAAGTCTTAGTTTCAGATGACAACAACAACACTTGCAATTACACAGAAAATTACTCACGGGTGACGCGAGTTTTGTCGAAATAACTCTCAGGTCCCTTTATTTTCAAAAAGACAACGGAGGTCCTTACATTTTATTGTAATGACTGGCAGGGGACATTCCATCCAATATTTCAACCATAAACGTTAATAAATGTATTTCTTCCTAGTTTTTTCCTTAATGTTTTATGGTAATAACTCTTAGGTCGCTTCTTTTTTATTTCTTTGTTTTTCTTTTTTTGTTATTGTTTTTTAAAGTGTTTTTTTAAAATTTCTTCTATAAAATCGTATAAAAATTCAAAATTATTTGTATGATATAAAAATAAATGAAATAAAAAAATTTCTAAAAAAGAAAAAACTGAGTAATGGCAAAATAGAAAAAAATGGTAATGGCAAAATAGGAAAAAATGTATTTATTAACTCTTATGGATGAAGTATAGGATGAAATGTCACCTCCCAGTCATTACAACAAAATGTAAGGACCTCTGTCGTCTTCTTGAAAATAGAGGGACCTGAGAATTATTTCGACAAAATTCACGTCACCCATGAGTAATTTTCTGTGCAATTACACCAAAAATGTGGTTTATCTTAAAATTTTCCAAAAAAATTGGATGTAATTAATACATTTATACGCTATTTTCAATTTTCAAATATATGAATTTTAGTTAGCATACTCTGTTTATGTCATATCTTTCATTAAACTTCTAACATTGTATATTAAAATTGGCTATAAATTTTAATCATTTACTAAAACCGAAAACTTAACAGAGTTAAAAACAACATGCGTTCGACCCCGTGCATTGCACGGGTTAAATACTAGTTGTTTTAATTATACGAGTAACTAATACTCCATATCAATATTGGTTTTTGTCTTAAAAAAAACTCCTTATAAATTAAAATTTGTTGGCAATTTGTTAAATACTAACTATTCGAAAAATTAATCAAACACAAAAACAAATATTAATTGAATTTTGAATTCTATTCAGAAAAAAATTAAATACGGAGTATATATATAAATTCAAAAACTCTCAATGGCTTTGTTTGGATGTTGGATGTGGTTATTGGCTGTTTGTGTTCGCTGTTCTGAATGACTGTTTAGTCTAATTGGTTTGACTGACTAGATGTGTTGAATGATTGTAATATAAAATATTTCTCACTTTTTATATATCCCACCCCCATGACTACAAAAAGTAGAAATAATGTTATTTATTGATAAGGGTTATTTTAAGAAAAGATGTATTTCCTCCGTCCCAAAAAGTCTTTCTTGTTTACTATTACAGTCTCTCGATAACTCTTATTTGTTTGCGTGTTTTCATTGATCATTTGATAAAACAAAATATTCCTGTCACCTCTTATTTTGTAGAGTTTTCGATGTAGTTTTTAAACATAATTTTTTTAATATGTTATTTCCTTACCAATTTGTAAATAAAACCATTTGAAAATATAAGAGATTTTGCACGTTAATCAAAGTAGGAAATTGTTTTTGGGACTGAGAGAGTATTTGATTATTTGATTTGACATAATATTAAAATAAGTGAAAAAGAATATTATAATGGAGCAGTTATAATATCAATATAAATATTTTAAAAATGACTAGGGGATAGTTGCTATTCTACGGTTCTACCAACAAGACTCGTTCAAACTTCAAAGGACGGCGGCTAAGCAGGAGAGAGCTAAGATTTGGGCTTTCGCGATTTGAATCTCAAAGGCCTTCCCTATATTGATTGGTACGTACATGTACATGACATGGTGTTTGGATTCGTCGTTTGTTTTGAGCGTGCAATCTAATTATTACCGATTTACAGAGAGCAGAGATTCGAATCCGGGTGGTCTATTGCGGCGGATGATCTAAACAGTAGGTGGAAAACGGGAAGGATGCGAGGAAGAAGATGTGGAAGCAAATCAGGGATAGAGAATCAGGGAGACTTCGCCCTAATTTGTACCGTAACCGAGTTGAGTTGAGCCGACTCGCCTCTCTTCAACTCTCCAATCACAAAGAGATCGTCTCCCCTCACCGCGCCTCCGTCAACTCTCTTCAGGTTCGCTCCAACTAACTAAACCTAATTGATCGGTGATTTTTTACTACTATCCATGCATTTGAGCTAAATTTTATCTGCAGATGCACTTAAGAGGGAGGGTGTTTTTGGGATTCGTTTTGGAAATAGTTCTCAGCTTTTGATTTTTGCTTTGGATAGAATCAGTTTGGAATGTTTGGGAGTGTTTGATTTTTAGCTTTTTTCAGAGGCTGAAGGAGAAGCATTAGATTCTTTTGTCAAGATAATCACTTTTCAAAAAATTTAAGCACATACAATGATACAAACACCCTCTTACACTTCTTTGAAGTGAAATTTGCACTAAATAGTATTAAAACACATGTCCTTTCCAAATGTAGTACTTAAACTTTTTTATTTCCTAAATAGTACTTGAATAATATCTAGTGACAGGAACAATGTCCAGTGATGGTGGACATTTAGTTTGAATAATGCCAGGCAGTGGATATTTACTTGAACAATGGCTAGTGGTCAATGACCATAGTACTACATTGGGAAATAAAAACATATAATACTACATTGAAAAAGTCACTATGTTTTAGTACTATTTAGGTAAATTCCCCTTCTTTGAATTTTAGAATATTTACAAGAAAAGCATGAAAGTTTACAACTAGAAGCTGAGACTAAGGCTCTCATTCAGATATATCTATTATGTTCTCATTTCCCTTTTTTTGATAGAATGGATTGTTAAAAAACTATGTGGGGTGAAACTTGCATTTTGTGGCCATTCCTTTTGACCACAAAGTCAGGTTGATTTGACAGAGCAAAGATATTTACTATCCTGTGCTTCGGATGCATCAGTTGCTGTTTATGATGTCCAACGTGCAACAGGTCGCGAGGGAGGTGGATTGATATGTAAGCATAAGCCCCTTTTTGTTGTTGACAAACGGCATCAACAGGGTCACAAATATGCCGTTTCTACATCCATCTGGTACCCAGTTGACACTGGACTGTTTATCACGGGTTCATACGATCATCGCATCAATGTATGGGACACAAACACTACACAGGTAGCCTGGGTTAGCAATTACACCATCTCATTCAATTTTTACCATCCCGATAGTTTATTTAAAATCCCTTATTATTACAATTCTTTATCAGGTGGCTGTCGATTTTAAAATGCCTGGAAAGGTTAATAAGTGTGCCATGTCTTCTGTGGCAACATCTCATATGTTAATTGCCGCTGCAACTGAAGATGTACAAGTCCGGCTTTGTGATATAGCTTCAGGCGCCTTTGCTCACACTTTATCTGGACATCACGGTATATGCTGCGATTTGTGATTTTTTTAAAAACTCCCTCCGTCCCTCAAGAGGTTCCACTATGGAAGTGACTTGGTTATCGAGAAAGGTAAAATTGTGTGGTTGAAGTTGATGCAGGGGAGAAAGAAATGACATGAGCATAATTTTTTTTTCTTCAATAAGAAAGTTGTTATGACGGATGTAAGAAAGATAACAAACAATAAAGAAACGAAAGAACAAACACACACAGATTTAACGTGGTTCACCAACAATATGTTGGCTACGTCCACCTAACAGAAGAGAGGAGAGCTTTTACTGATTGAGGAGAGAGATTACAGAGGGATTTTCTAGGTGACTGATCTATGTCTGAATGCCTTACAAATGAACCTATTTATTGGAAAGATGGCAGCCAACTTGGCTG